GTCAAAAGTTTTAATTCCCTTAGTTTCAACAGTGATCTATGAGAAATCAGGATCTTAATATTATATCTCATCTTTGTCATGCAATAAGTAAATGTTCCTAAATAATAGGTTGTTCTGTAAATCCTTTGTTAAGCAACCTTTTATCCAGACCAGAGAGATCATCCCTCCCACCTGAACCCAAGATGTTCAAGCACTGAATGGCATTTGATGTGGAATAATTATTACTGTATGCTTTGTGCTATATTCACAACTCTGTCCTTTGATAACAGGGTAAGTTTCGATAGTCAGAATTCATTAGAAATGTTAAAGATTTTATAGTAGGTGAATAATACTAGAAAAAAAAAAAGTATCAACATCAGAATTTACTCCACCTTCTCTTAGTTCATTTATTTATGGTAAAGTCCCTCCAGATTTCTTCTTTGCTGAAAAATCATGAAATTGTAATATGAAGAAATCATAAAATGCTCTGCTTTCCCTTGAACTTGGAGCAAGGCTTGGAGCAAGACAAGATGTAACTGGAATTAATATGGACAATTATTACCTTTCTTCTGCTTTCAGAGCTAAAGAAACAGTTAAATCAACAGAGGCTTTTAAGTTTTCCTTTTGAAATTATGGCAGAGGTAAGCCAAAAGCATAAACAGGCCAAGCATCTCAGTGTGCCTGATCACTTTGGAATGAATTAAAGCTCCAGGTAACAATAGGGAAGCTTGTCCTTCTGCATTACAACAACTCTACATGGGAAGCATTCAAAACTCCATGGTGTGGGAGAAGCTGCTCTGAGTCACAGTTACAGCACTGAAGCCCTTGTGTGAAGTATAAACAGTAAGGTAATGTAATGTATATAAACATTTGATTACATTACAGATCTTACAAGTGTAGATTCATGTGAAAATTGACACTACACTACTCAAAAGTAAAGATTACAGGATTGATTCCTTACTTTGACTTCTTTGAAGGAACAGGAATTTCAAATGTATAGGGAACTGGGCTGTGGCTGGTGATCCATGGAATGATGGCTGCAAGAAATTGTAGGGGTTGAATATTTATATTAAATATATAGCACCAGACCAAAGCTTATCCCTTAATCTAGGGTAGAATGGAGAAAAAGTGAGATCTAAATGAAATTAAAGCAATTTAAAAAAAAATAAATCTGAGCTGCATTCCTTGAACAGATAAATTTTTAAGGAATTACAGTTGAGCATTTTTATTCAGTTCTTTTACTCTGGGTATACTACTGTGATGGATATTCATTTAAATATCTCAAACAAGCTTGCTCTTTCACAGTAAAGATTAAGAGAAAGTACTCTGAACTGACTGTTTAGCATTTTTAATTATTTTTAGAACAAGTCTTATTGTACTACAAAAAGATTATAATCAACATACTTATCTGTTCTTTTAATTGTTACAGTATATATGTAATAAGTGTGGCTATCATTGTTGCAGATTAGTTGTATTCAAGCCTAGTGAAAACAACAGAGTCTTATGAAAAATGGGGATTCAGCATGCAGAGTAGCTTTATTTTAAGCATCTTGGCTATTTTTAATTTAAAAAAAAGTCCAAAAGTTCCAAGTTCATCAAAGAGACCAAAAGGGTTTAATAGAAAATCTCTTTGAGATGCACCACTGATGTGAAAGAGAAGAAAAATAAATCAAAAACTCTTTTCCACCATTTTTGCTTAGAACCCCCATGACTTCAAAAACTAATTTATTTTAAAGTTTGTAAAGGAAAAGAAGTGTTGTTGGACTAAGACTTCACTTATCAAGTTTCATCATGGAGGGAATTTTTATAGTTGAGTTATAAACCCTCCACACTAGAGTGTTTATAATGGAAACGCTGACAAATGCGATAATAAACACATTGGGGCCATAGTAGCTGGTCAGAACGTGGATGCAGGAGTTTGTAGTGCTATCATAATATTTTGTTCCATTTCCAGCACTAATTTGCTTAAACCTACTTTCAGGTTGAACAGCTGTAAAACAAGACTATAGATTGCAAAATCATTTGATTATTTTTACTTCTCTTAGAAAGCTTGGAAATGTCTCTCAAATATGATTTCATTTAGACTTATTTTCTGGTTTACATGTCTGAATACTAATCGTAATGTGATAGCTACAAGGGAACTCAACTTTCTACCATAAGGCAGCCTTCAGTGGGCAAAGAGAATATAAACAAACCCGTCTCAGAACAGGATCTAAAAATGGGCTATGATCAAACAGCTTTAAGGCTTTAGAAAACCCCTTATTATCTTTTCCCAGAAGTAATTGACGCTGTCAGTTTTTGTTCTTAATGCGGTGATAATGGCATGGTGCTCTGGGGAGACCAAGGCCTGTGATTGGCTTCGGCGTTGGTGGCAGCAGTGCTTCTGAGCAAGGAAAGTCCTTTAAATACAGTGGGTGAAATCCAAGCCTTGCTGATGTTAGCAGCAGTTCTGCACTCACATCACTGGGGCCAGGATTTCACTGGCTTCCCAAGCTTGACATGCTGTTTTATTGCCCTGTGACTCCACAGACTCTGAGGCATCTATCTTGGATTAAGATGAGGATAAAGGGAGAATGGACCCCCCAGTCCCGTTATTTCAGTGAGACAGGATCACACTCCAGCAAGAAACTTGTCTGTAATATTTCCAAAATGTGTTCATATTCTTAGCAGACTGAGTTTCCAGGACTTCAGCACATCCACGTGGGCAAGCTGATGGGTCTGTATGGCTTCATGATGTTTCACTGAGTATATAAGGGTATGCTTTAGTTTTAGCACAGGTGTGGTAAGAACAAATTGCACCAAGACTACCATTCTGGTCAATCTGTCCCTGTTTTGGAAAGGCATGAAACAAAAAAATTAAAGCCCCTTCATCAGCTTCTCAGCTCCTATACATCAATATGCAGTCAAGAGGTAGCTCTGAAGTCCCTAACACAATACAAAACCTGTCTTGGTACTTTGTGCTGTTTGCATATAGTCTTCACTGTCTTGTACCACGAATGCATTTTTAATTTTAAATATTATTCTAAGAATCAGTGGTTCATAAAATAATGTTACTACTGTTCTGTGTTACTGCTGCAAAGTTTCTGGTAATCTATTCAAAATAAGCATTCATAATGTAGGATCCAGGTTTTGATTTGTCTTCAAAAATAAAATGTAACATTTTCTTTCCACTTTTCTTTAGTCTTTAACAAAAGCATAGAAAAGCTTGGATCTTGAACAAATTCCAATGTTTTGTTATTAAAACAAGAAGAGAAAACAATAATTTTTGAATTACCTGTTACAGGCATGTTTACATTGTGAATCTCTTAAAGCCTCTGTGTGCTACAGAGTTCTAATTTTATCCAGTGACTTGAGCAAGAAAAAATATGGAAAGATACATAATCATGCTGTGGAAAGCATAGTTGTATGGAGATGATGGAGAAATAGTGATAAGAAGTGAATATTGAATTGCACATCCTTAAATAATTTGCCTTCATCATTTTGCTTGACACAGCAGTAACAGTAAAATGCATCTGGGTCATGTGAACAGTTGTTGATTTTGGAACACTGCTCATTCCTAGTTCCTTTTCTCATTTTATTTTTAGCAAAAAAACATCTGAAGAGGTGAAACACCCCAGTTTCTAGAGAGAATCCAGCTGCGTTAACTATCCAACTGCTTCTTGGAAAAAAGCATTCTGACAACTAGAAAACAGATGCAATGTGTGGAGTCATGGAGGTCAATGAAAACAAGTGGAAAAGGGATTCAGGGAAGTAAGTGAGAAGAGAAATAATATTGCAGTATTAAAACAGGATATTAGATCACTCATGATAATAATACTGAAGTGAATGAAACAAGAAAAAGAAGAATCACAACAGCAGCTGACAAAATCAGGAGAGAAGAAATCAGAGGGTGGGATTTAGATCTTAGACATACAAGTCTGAAAATCTTGATTTCACTAATACCACAATTTCATATAGTGGAGATAAAAGCTGTCCTCAAAAGTGCTCGCAGGTCCGCTGCCCATTTACTCCTAATTTCAGTGCGGGATGGACTAGGGAAGGGGAGGGTGACCGAGACACACCAGGAGGAGCTGGAGAGGCTCCAGCTCCGACCCAGCTCCAGGCCCCTAGGAAAGGGAGCTCCTAGCCCCTTCCCTTAGGCGGGGCCCTGCGGTGGAGCCCTTTTCATCCTCATCCCCGTGGTACGACCGGCCTGGGCTTCCCCCTCCTCTGCCTTCATTTTTTCAGCATGATATTTTATTTTATTTTATTTTATTTTATTTTATTTTATTTTATTTTATTTTATTTTATTTTATTTTATTTTATTTTATTTTATTTTATTTTATTTTGCAACGAAACTTGTGGGCCCTTGGGAGCAACAACAACAACAAACAACAAAATAAAACAAACGAAACAAAACAAAAACAAACAAACAAACAAAAAAGGAAAATCCAGCGAGGGGGGAGAAAGTCTCTGAGTGACATTCCCGAAATCAAAGCCTACATGTTTCCGTGCTTTATTTTTCTCTCTTCGGAGGGCACAAACACCACACCTCGCCCGCACTGCACCGTGCTGGGTGTGAGTGCCGGCACTGGCCGCCCACAAGCAGGGCAAAGCTGATCCCTGGGAGAGAGAGAATCGTGACACCGAGCGGTTCCGACCAGATGTACAGCTTTACTCGCCCTGTGACACACAGCATGGGCTCGGCAGGCTGGATTTCAGAGAAAAAGGAGTTGGTTTGTGTTTATTAAAAATAAATAAATACACACAGAGGGGGTTTCCTAGTCCCTGGCTGGGCCAGCAGCTGCTGGAGAGCCAGTCCACGGGCTGGAGAATCTCTGGTGCCCCGTCCGACCCGGCCTCGAAGGCGGCACATTGCCACTTTGCAACATTTTAAAGCAAGCAGGCGAAACAACAACAACCAAAAAGCCCCAGACTTTTTTTTTTTTTTCTTTACAAAAATGGTATATATTAGCAAATCTACACACAGGGAAGCCCTCCGCCCCTCCTCTCCCCCCGCTCCCCAGGCACTGCTCGGTCTGTGCCCCACGCCTGCACGGCCCTGGCTGCGGTGCAGGGTGCCCGGGCACGGCTCCAAGCGCCACTGGGGGGTGGTGGCCGGCCCCCAACCCCGTCCCGCCGGTCCCCAGCTCTCCCTAGCTCGCCTCCTGCTTGCCGCAGCCGTCCAGGAGCTCGGTCATGAAGGAGATGTACACTATGGCCAGGCGCAAGGTCTCTATCCGGGAGAGCCTCTTCTCGTAGGCGAAAGTGGGCACCTTCTTCCTCAGCCGATCAAACGCCTCGTTGAGGTTGAACATCCTCTTCCTCTCCCGTATGTTGGCAGCCTGGCGCTGGGCGTAGGTGATAACTCTCTTTCTCCTGGGTCTGTCCAGGAGGGAAGCGCTCCGCATCCTCTCCTCTTCCTCCTCCTCTTCCTCGTCTTCGGGACCTCCACCTCCGAAAGCAGCCAGGGGCAGTCCCCGGGCCATTCCCTCCCGCAGGGACAGGGCTCTGTCCCCGAACGGGGACCCGGAGGTGACCTCGCAGAGCCCCAGGCTCGGCCCGGCCCGGGGGGGACCGTGAGGGGCTCCCAGGGAGAAGTCGGCCACGATGTCCAGCACCGAGGCGCCCAGCAGCCCCTCCGGGCAGGGCACTTGCGGGGCTCTGCCGTGCAGCCCCGGGCGCTGGTGGGTTGGGAAGAGGCTGGCTGACATCTTACTTCAGACAGGGCTTAATCTGGTCCCCCATCCCCAGCCCCAGCGGCGTTAATATTTATAACCCCCCAGATAACAGGATTAGCAGGGCTAGAAAGAGCGGCTGTAAAATTTCTCTCCGTGATGCTGATGAGAGGAGACAGGCAGCCCCCTCGGGGACGCGTGGATGCTCCCGAGAGAGGAGTCCCCAGCGAGTCAATCCTGTCACAGCGATCAAGGACAGTTCCTTCTTGGCAAAACCCTCCGCTCTTACCTGCTGAGCACTTTTGTCTCTTCTCACACACCCGCAACCAAACGATTTTCAGCCTCTTTAAAGCCCACAGCAGCAGAGCCGGGTCTCCACTGGGCTTGCTTTCCTGCTTTCTGTCGGGATCTCTGAGCCCTGAGAGCCGGCCGGACAATTGATGTCAGGCAAGTGCATGTATGCTTTTAATGATGTCCCGAAGAGGGGACCTGCATGCAGAGGGTCACCGGGGAATGTTTACCCTGTATCCCAGCGCAATGGGAGCTGAATGACAGGACCTCCATTAGCCTAAGTAAGCATTGTAGGGGACCCGATATTGCATTCCCGGTAGTAACTGTTGGCATCGTCCTCTCCATTCCCCCTAAATCCCCTTCAACTAGAGTTCAAACATCTTTCCAGCGTGGCACTAAAAGGCTGCTTCGTAAAGCTCATTTCGGTTCGGGCGATCTCAAAGCATTCGCTTTGAAACCCCTTCCTTCTGCCCAGGAGACGAGGATAAGCTGCTCCTATTCAGGGCAGCGGCTGCTCTCACCCACACCCCTCGCAGAGCCGTCCCGGTCACCGGCGGTGCACGGATGAATCAACCTGACTCCACGCCCTGATAACGCTGGATACACGGCGCAAAATACCGTGAAATGCACATCAACACACCCGCACACCCGACACCGCCGAATACCTTTCTTTGATCAGGGTTTCCTTGGGGACGGACGTGGGGGATTGGTTTGCTTTTTTGTCTTGGGAAGCTGGGAGAGGTTAGGGGTTGTATCTTTACCCCACCACATCACAGACTATCTCCAAGCAAACAGCCTGGCAGGGTTAGTCGCACCCAGGTTAAACTGGATCGATTTTCCTTGGCACACGATCTGTGCGCACCGCGCGTTTAGGAGGTGCTGCTCGTTACTCTTGCCCTGCCTTCGTAAGCCCTGTCATGCATTGTTGCCACTCTCACTTTAGAGTGAAATTAGTTAATTAGTTAATTAGAAAATAGTTTCTAATTTCTAAGGGGATTTCAAAGCCCATCAGATGAAAGCAGACGGGTGGGGGCTGCCGAAGGATCAACCTCCGCCAAAACCCTTTCTGTTTGCCTACAGGACCGCAAACATTGCCGATGGCAGACCAGGATCCGCCGTCGTTTACACCGCGGCGACAATCCCAAATACCCTTTTGTTTGTTTGTTTGTTTTCCCTGGGAAAAGTGCCGCCGTAACGACCCCCCAGCCTCCCTGCCAGTTCCGTGTGCTATGTCCGGCAGGCGATGCGGAGCGATGCGGAGCGATGCGGAGCAGCCCGGATACATTGGACAGCTCCGGGGAGGCGCGCCCGGCCGGCGGCGGCCGCGGCAGCACAGGTAACGCAGCCCCTCGGGGGGGCACCGTCCTTCCCCAACTGTTTTGGGGGCCAGTGCGAGCCTCTCCTCCTCTGATCACACCGCCACCGTCACCGCTGCTAGGCGTGGTGACTGCTGGAGGGGGGGAATGGCATGCCCAGGGCTAAGGAGAGAGGCAAATTGCAGGAAGACTGCTTCTACATGTATTCTTAGTAAGGTTTCTTAGCAAACGGAGATGTGCTTATCTATCAGGCATGTCGTTCACCCGGTGAATGAATTAAAAGGGAGCTGTAAAGCATCTGCTAGGAGAAATGTTTACTAGAGAGCATCCTTAGATAACGTTAATTTGGAGAGCTCTAAATGCTAACTGTTAAGCGAAAAGGCTGCATAGAAAATAAATAAATAAATAAATAAATATAATCGACCTGCAAAGGGATGTAACTTATTTGAGCTCCCTTTAATTGAGGTGGCAAGCATTTCGTTTGAAGACATGGAGGTATAAATTAAGAGCATATGCTAGCAGAAGTGTGTGACCACAAGGTGCAAAGTTATCGGGGAAATACAAATACTTCAGATAATGAAACAAATGAAGAGTGAAATGTGAAATCGTCAACTCTGTGTCAATCTTTACATGAATTTCTCGTTATGTGAGAAACTGGCTTTTAGAGGAAGATAGAGCAGCCCTTCACTAGGGTCTTTTCAGAAAGACACTCCTGCTCACATCTCTAGTTTCACGCTGTTGCAGGAGACAAACTACAAAGAAAACTGAAACGAGAAGCGAGAAAGTAAAGGGAGAAGGTTGCTGAGTCAATATTGCTGTGCAAAGAGATGTAAAATACGACATAAAAGATTTAGAGGAGGTGTACCTGCCTCTGGATCCTTAAAGGAAGCACTAAAGCCAGGATTACAACCAGCTGGAGCGTTGTAGCAGCAAATGAAGACTTTTAGCAAAGGTGAATTCTCTTGTCAAGCTGCTTATTTTTTTATTTTATTTTATTTTATTTTATTTTATTTTATTTTATTTTATTTTATTTTATTTTATTTTATTTTATTTTATTTTATTTTATTTTATTATTTTATTTATTTTATTTTATTTTATTTTATTTTATTTTATTTTATTTTATTTTTTCCCATTGCTGTTTTGTTTCCTGTTTTTCTCCCCTTACCTTTATTAAAATATTGAATTTTCTCTTTTAATAATGTTTGCAAATTATTCATAATTAACTCAATTAACTATGATTTGAAATAATTCTAGGACAGTTTTCAGAACAAATTAGGTACTTAGATCAGTGTTTTAGATTTCATACCTTTTTCAATTTAGATCGTACCTTTTCATTTCACTTTTTGTCACATTTTTTTTTTTGCTCACAAGATACATACCGATACTGAGCACTGATGGCTACACCTTCAAGCCTCTCTGCAAATATTTACATAATTGTTTTTCTTCAGAAACGTCTGTAATATGATTCTAGATGATCATGAAGATTGGGATCAAGACCCAAAAAATAATAAATAGCTCGTCTGATCTATTAGCCCTATCAGAAGGCATATATATCTCCTTATGCCCACACCAATTATGCTAAACTTTGAAAATCTAAATCTTTTAATATACCTCCCTATATAACAAATCCAATGCCCTTTGTGCTAGCAGAAATTATGAAAATGTGCATTTTAATTCAGTGTGCCCCTATGGAAATAGTTTTATTTGTTTTAACTCTGGATTCTGAGTGCCTGTGATAATCATTTTTCACATTATCATGCATGAAAAGACAGCCGCTCTGATGATTTAGCATTACTGATGGACATGTTATAGGTTTTAACAATACAGACCTGTATTTTACTAGAAAATTTATTGGAAGTCAGTATTAATCCTTGGATGTTGAATTAAGGTGTTACTGTCCAACAAACATGACTCAGCAAGCAAGATGCTGGAAGATGCTCTAGAAACCACAAAAAGCTAGATATTGAGCTGAAACAGTATCTATACACTTTTCTGGTAAAATGGTACAAATCTTCTCTACTTTAATTGACCCATTAATAGCCAGACAGTTGCTATCATTCTCAAGCTGTGGCCTGATTAACAGAAACAGATGTAGTATGTAGCAGGTTGAATCTCTCTTTCAACTTACTGACATTGCAGCTGTCTGATCTTGTTGTTAATCTCTAAAATTATGGTAATGGATCAGGACTTCATTACCCCAGAGCAAAAGACATTTCCTGCCCTTTTGAGCTCACAGTTTGCATTTCTGGCAGACTGGACCAGATCAGTGGAGTATATGTGTGAAGACAGGACAAACTTGAATGTGAATGAACAGAGTTTGTAAAATATCTTAGCTTGACACTTGCTCAATATGTGGTGGAGAGGAAGCAAGTGAGGAGACCACTGAAGAATTAATACAGAAAGGATACATTTAAGTAAAGGTAGCCGAAGACTGGTTGTTTTCACAGTAGAAGAGTGTAGTAGCATTCAGGTGAAAGCAGAGCACAATGTGATTGAATGTGGTATCACCAGAAGGGTAAAGGAGACCTTTGATGTTTCAATGCAATATGAAATCACATAGGCAGGGAACATTGGGCTGTGATAGTGTATACATTCAAAGAGTCTATATCTGAGTCAGTTGTGAAGCTGAAGAAGGCTTAAAAAATGTATTTGATGAATTGGTCAATACAGTTTTGAGTGGCTTGTAACAAAACTGGAGAGGAGGAAGACTGCTGAAGTCAGAATTGAAGTTAATGTAGGCCAGAGGAAGAAGGGCCTTGATGGTTGAAACAGCTGGGAAAGACTTGATACATTGGGTACAGGTAAAATGTATGAACACAAAATTATCTTCCTTTGACTTGTTCATATCTCATCCTGAAAGAATTGACTCTATCTGTTAAGAAAACTGCAATGGATACTAAAAATGGAGTCATATTACCTAACTGTTTGCTCTTACCCAGATATTGATTTATCCTGGAGTCACTAACTCCTGCAGGGATGTGAGTATCTGTAGTGGATTCCACAGTCCACTTGCTAGTCTCTTCCTAGTATCTTCCAAGACAGACTGTCTAAAGAGCTTAGGGATACTAGCTTCTAACTTGGATACCTTCAGTCCTGCAGGATGAATCTTGGCTCTAGATTTAGGAGTCTATGAACAAATACTAAACAGGAAATCAGTAATGTACACATCCAGAGTGTGCAGACAAAGGCAACTGGATATATTTGCCCAGAATTTGAGTCTGGAAGAATTTTCTGCAACCTTTTTTTCTGCAACCAAATACCATACCCTGTTTGCAGTGTAAGAATTAACTTTTTTCCTTACATTGATGATACAGTAAGTTCTTCTTATGTGAATTAATACTAGTGTGGCATAGGGACCAGTTCTGTTCTTCAAAACATAATATATCCAGAGAAGCTAGAGAAATCTGGTCCCAGAAGTAATTTTAGGCACTGATCATACCTGTAACTGATTGCTTGAATGTATCACCATGTCACAGCCTGTCTTTAATAGGACTCCAATCTGAATACAAACATCCACTTACAAAGATGGGGTTTCATGACTTGTCTCTCCCTTATAAAAAAAAAAAAAAAAAAAAAAAGACGTTCAGTAACATCATTTCTCCCTGGAATAGGAAAG